GCCCCGCCTCGCCCCGCCCCGCCCCGCCCGCTGGCAATTAATCTGAAAGCGTGCGCACGGTGGCCAAGCGGCGACAAGCGGGGCGGCGCGTATGTGGTAGGTTGGCCCAAGTCTTGTAGAGCAGCACATGTGTGTGCTGCCAGCGGGAGCTGCTGAGCGTGATTTCCGTCATGCTACACGACGACGGCTGACGGCGCTGTGGCGCCTCGTGGCCCCCCCGGGGCCCGCCCTGCTGCTCCCAGAGGACGCGCTCCTCCTCCTCGCCGTCATCCTCTTTGTGAGAGTGCGCGGCGCTCTCGCCGGATCCGTCTCCGAGGAAATGGCATAATTGAATATTGGCAGCGCTGAGCGGGGCGTGGCGTGGCGCTGCGGGTCGCGATCCCCCCGCCGCCCGGGGAGCACACGGACCCGAAGCAGCAGTGACGGGGAGGGGGTGATGGTTTACGTGACCCTATCTTGTGCGGTGCACTCACACAGGCGAGGCGGGACGTATCGTATGAGCTGTCCGAGCAGTCACTAACAGCTACGGAATATGTCTCCCTTGTCGGCCATGCCTCACGCATTTGCTTGTGTTCCGTTGCACCTCCATGTGTCCAGTCTCTTCCTCTGCCCCTGGCTGAGGTTGTTGGGCATGGCAACGCCGACCAACGTGTTCGTCCGACCGTCCGTCCGTCCGTCCGCGCTGCCGCCAGGGTCTCTCGCACTGGACGTGCTCCGTTAGCTCGTGCCCCCCCCCCCCCTCCCCTCTGGTAGGCGTCGAGCAGCGCCCCTTGTTGGTATGCAAACGGGGCGACGCACAGTATTCACTGAGGAGGACGACCGCAACGGAGCTGCGGGCGGGGCTGGGGCTTCTGCAGCGAAGGTCCGTGCTGTGCCTGCGCTCTACGACTGGGACGGGATGGCCACCACCATCGATTGTATGGTGGTGGGAACTGCAGTTTTAGCTCAGTAACCCCTCAAAGTATGACCCCGCGACTAACGAGTGCTTTTTTATCGTTTGCAGCCGAGAGTCTTCATCTTAGAGCCCATCTGTCCATTCGGTGAGCGGCAGCATCAGCCCACCATGTCGCCGAAGGGCTCGGGAAGAGCTGTGGAAACTAACTCGGAGACTCGAGGAAAGGCATCTTTCAAATGCAGCGAGTGCCACGAGACGTTCTCGTCTTATTACCGCCTGAGGATACATCGTCGGGGCCATAGAGGGGAACCGGCGAAGCCATACGAGTGCGACGTATGCCAAGTGTCGTTCTCAGTGGCAGCTTCTCTGAAGGTTCATGTCCTAACCCACTCAGCAGTAAAACCTTTTGGGTGCAGCTTCTGCAACAAAACGTTTTGTGTACCATCCGCGCTGCGGGTACACCTGAGAAGTCACACAGGCGAAAAGCCATTTGAATGCTCCGTGTGCCCAAGCAAGTTTCCAACATCAAGAGGTCTACGGTCACATTTAAATAGCCACACCGGAGAGAAGGCATTTGAGTGCGCAGAGTGTCACAAGAAATTATCTACGTCTGCCGCTCTCCGTTTACATTGTCGGCGTATACATGCTCGTGATAAACCACATCAGTGCACTTTGTGCCCCAAGACTTTCTGTACACCCACTGAAAAGCGAATTCATCTACTAACCCACTCTGGGTTCAGGGAGAGAAGCTTTGAGTGCACCGTCTGTCAGAAAAGGTTCTTTCTTCCAAGCATTTTGAAGAGCCATCTGAAAATCCATACGGGAGAGAAGCCACATGAATGCAATGTGTGCCACATGAAGTTCTCTACATCTGTTTCGATGCGGTCACATCAGCGCACCCACACAGGAGAGAAGCCCTACGAGTGCAGCATATGTCCAAAGAAGTTTTCTACTTCTGGCGGTCTACAAATCCATGCCCGAAGCCACTCTGGCGAGAAACCATTCAAGTGCCCTGTGTGCCACAAGAAGTTCTCTGTTTCCAGTAATATGCAGAGACACCGTAAAAGCCACACCGGCGAGAAAGGGTTCCCGTGCCCGATGTGTGAGAAGAGATTTTCTGTATCAGGTTCACTGCGCATGCATCTGCGGCGTGCACACACAGATGATAAGCCATTCGAGTGTGCGGACTGCCCAAAGAAATTCGTCACACATCGCGAGCTAATAAGTCATAAGCGAACTCACACAGGAGAAAAGCCATACGAGTGCTCAATCTGCCAGAGAAAGTTTTCTCTCTACGGCGGTTTGCAAGGTCATCTTCGAACCCACACGGGAGAGAAGCCATACCAGTGCACCGTGTGCCAGAAGAAATTCATGTTCAGTGGTAATATGAAGAAACACATGGTAACGCATACTGGGGAAAAACCACATGAGTGTGATGTGTGCCACAAAAAGTTCGGTCACACTAACTCTCTTGAGAATCATCTGAGAACTCATACAGGAGAGAAGCCGTTCAATTGCACCGTGTGCCAGAGGAAATTCTTGTCCAGTACTATTCTGAAGAGCCACATGGTAACGCATACTGAGGAAAAACCACATGAGTGCGACGTGTGCCACAAAAAGTTCGGTCGGACAATCTCTCTTAAGATTCATCTGAGAACTCACACAGGAGAGAAGCCGTTCAATTGTGCCGTGTGTCAGAGGAAATTCATGTTCAGTAGTAATGTGAAGAAACACATGGTAACGCATACTGGGGAAAAACCACATGAGTGCGATGTATGTCACAAAAAGTTCAGTCTACCTCAAAATCTTAAAAATCATCTAAGAACTCATACAGAAGAGAAGCCGTTCAATTGTATTGTATGCTGTGAAAAGTTCCATGTAGCTAAGAATCTAAAGATACATCTGCGGACCCACTCACAACAGAAACCATTCAGTTGTTCAGAGTGCCACACTAAGTTCTCTACATCGAAGTCTCTGCTAGTCCATCTGCTAAGGCACATAGGCGAGGATCCCTCAGAGTGATTCGTGTGCCGCTTGAGTTTTTCTATAATTGACGCTTTTATTAGACGTGTGCGAGCTTACCTTGGCGAGAAATGGATGCAAGTTCAGTATTGCTTGGAATCTCGACGCACATTTGAGTTGCACATATAAAAGTACATTATAATATATCGTCTGCGCCAGGCATTGTGTATCATCAGAGTCGTTTCTCTTACATTAACAATTATTATCTTGCCCAGTGGTTATCTCAGGGTGCAGCCATTTTCTGGTAACCTTCATGGTTGTTCATAAGGATAAGTTAAATTATAACTCTTACACATGTTTTTGTAAGTATTAATGGTAATTGCTTAGAAGTGCACATTTCTTGTTAGTAATGTTTCTTTTGACTGAGTGTTTTCTGGAGTCATTAAAATTTTGAAGAAATAATATGAAGTTTAATGGGCTT